GAGGATACGCGTATATGAAGCAACCTTCAGACCACCACGGTACAATGCATCTAGATTTCGAAAGCGCCGAGCCACAAATGACATGCTCACGCAGCTGAACCATAAATATCTGTAGCGTTGGCGAATCCTTTGGTGATCTTAATTCTCGGCTTAATTCGCTGCAGCTATTGAGAGAGCTTCTCCTGGTTTGTCTGCACTCTTCTCCCAATACGCCATCACGTGGTCGAGGCTATAAATGAGACGCGCGCCGTAGACGCTCTCCTCAAGACTCTCCTCCTCACCACCACCCACACGCGGCACAGTCGACGCGTCCTACTACCGGAAATATGCCACTGAAGCGCAAGGCAGCTGGTAAGTCGCATTTTACGTGTACTTGTATGAGAACGCGTCTTGAACGCCTTGCGCTTGGTAGTTCCGAAGTCCAACGTGTCTACAAGCGCGACAAAGAAAGCAAAAACAACTCCAGCCGCTATCGAGAACGAACCTAAAGCAGCCGCGAAGAAATCTAACGCGTCATCCCTCAAACTATCTGACGCTGGTATTCGGACCAGTGACGACGTCTCTAACATCGTCGACGGAGATGTCGTTGCACCATCCCACTGCTCCATGTGCGGCCAACCCGACCTCGCCCGAACCGCCGCTCAGATAAAACCGAAGTCTGGCGCGAACGGTGTCATCGATTTTTCGGGACACTTCGCGTGGTTTGACCCATTTTCGGACGGGTTCGCGTCTGTGGTACCACCGAACGAGGATCCCACAGCCGCCCAATGGGCCACAATATACTCATATCTCGCGACGAAGCTCTCGTCGGATGCATCTCATCGTTCCTCTTTCACACTCAAGCTGGGCTACCGCGGCAAGTCGGTCTACCTGCGCGGGCCGAGTGAGAAGCCGAAGACGATGGCGGACAGCGTGCTCGCGTCGCACGGCGCGGAGATCGTTGGCGGCTTCGTCGGCGATGTCGAGTTTACGGAAGACGACATCCCACGATATTATTCCTTTAATATTGATCTATCGTGCGTGCATGGCTACGAGGCGCGCCTTGCCGTGCCGCCGCGCATGGGGTTGCGGGGTCAGGGTCTCTTCAAGATGCGTCGCATATGGGCTGACCCGCGCGACCCGAACAAAGAACTCTTCGAGGGCGTGTGGGACCTGACAGTCTCTGCGGACAGCCGCCATACGAAGGGCAGGTACGGCATGGATGAAGACGGGGAGGGCAGTGGGGCCCTGTTCTGGGCTATAAGGCATGAGGCTGGAAAGGGCGAGGAGAATGATAACGAAGACGAATCTTGCTTCTACTGATAGATTGGTCAATAGTTTTCGTTGTTGTAGAAGCCATCATCTTATTTTTGGGGGATACATATGAAGCGCCCATCGTAGCGAGCACGCACGAAGGACAGTCGGGGCAGGTCATAGGTGCGTGCACTCTCAGGCACGAAGGCATGACAAGATAGTGTTGATCGATAGATATTTGCTGTCAGGGGCTTCCAGTCGTAGCATCTGGACGATCCAGAGATTCTGGATCGTCGCTTCGGGAGTAGCGAGATGCACTGGTGGCTTCTGTCCGTCCAGCGGATCCTCCTACCGTACACCCTCGAACTTTGAAGTTCCATGCTTAATGAAAGCGC